TTCGGAACATACGTACACACAGACAGACAGACAGACAGACAGACAGACAGACATACAGACAAACAGACATTCAGCTTTATATATAAGATATGCTGTAGGAACCAACCACCGCAGAAAGAATTTGCTATTAGGGTGAACGGTAAAAAATGGGACACCTACGAAATAACTGGAGGTTTCTCAAGAATGAGAAGCGATTAGACATTCCAGTTTTGTTAGATGTTAGAATATTTTATTCTCTTTCAGATAATACCTATATAAGGTCATTTACTTAATTGATAATTTTTATACTTGCTGAAATGTAGAGTTAATCACCTCGACAAATTATGAACTTTGAGCAGTATCTGCGCAGTGAAACATGTGAGACCACCCAAAGTACCGCTGCTGGAGTGGATGGTGGGACAGTCACCAAACCCACGATGGCTTGGTGGCCTCAACTTCCAAAGTCAGGAGATATGGCCATTAGCAGCTTCGAAAACGAAGATACGTGTTATCCAATTCCTTCCAGGTGAACGCATGTTTTCTAGGTACCTTCTGATAGAGCTTTTTACGCTCTGTCTATACATGTGCAGCTTGCCTCAGTTTTTGTCCATTTTCGGAAAATATAGGGCAAAACATAATTTTTTTGGTCCTTATTGCGCCAAAAATAGCTATTTTTCAGGTTTTTTCGCAATTTTTCCTGAAATTGAAGAGAAATCTTAGGCAATTAACATATCGTTTAAAAGAGCATGAAAAGCTCTTTCGAATGGTATGTCATTTGCTTTACGACTTTACGGTATAGCAGTGCAAGATTGAGAATTGTTCAAAAAATCCCGTCGGAGTTCTTCACGACGCCACGCGTACGGTCATGAGAGAGGAGCGGTAACGCGTTGCCAGAATAATAGGCGAAGGTCGGTTATGTAAGCGACGTTTGAGTTGCAGTCTGCTTGTTATTGGTGAGGACAAAAAATCTTAAAATGTAATAAAAATCAAGCTGTCCCATTTTTTACCGTTCACCCTAATAATAAGTATTAGGTTGTCCCAAAAGTAAACTCCCTTTTCAAATAAGTCAAATTGTTTTTGTTTTTCTGATAGACTTAGGGTATCTTTCGTAGAGCAAATCAAGCCCCACACAATGACCATCAAGGATCCGCCTAAGTCGCATTGTAAAGCTTGAAGCTAAAATCAAGAAAAAATCTTTGTCACATGAAAAAAGGATTTTTGCAAGAAAAAATCCTACGGATCACCAACTTGGTCATTATGCAGTAGGCACATAGTAGTACTCAAATATGCCTTTGAAGGATTTTTTTCTGCGCATAGAAAGGAGAAAAAAAGATAGCCAAATGAAACTCTGCCCTCCAGCCCCTCCCGCATACGTCATTGTATACTACAAGCCTTATTAACACGTTGACGACGAGCCATTTTTTGAAGGTCTGTCCCTGTGGCCGAACCGTTTCCGGGCATTTTCACAGCCGGCTGCACATATATATGCATGCATCTATGCGTGAGATACACAAATACAAGTGGGCGGGGCAGCTCCGCCCGTTTTTGGCAAGCCCCGCCCACTTCTCAAAAATGCTGGAAATTGCTCAAAATCAATGAATTCGTGCAAATTTCGGCATTTTTGCAAAGTGGGCGGAGCTTGCCACTGAGGGGATGGAGCCTGCATTACGGGAGCGGGGTCAAAATTAAGGTAATTTAAGGTTCCCCTGTCATCTACGAGCTTTTCTATGCGATTTGAGGACGAAAAAAGTTTTTTGTAGAGGGCAATGGAGTGGGCGGAGTTTGCCAAAAAGGGGGAGGGGCCAGCATGAAATACTTCCGAGCCTAACTTGATTATGTGAACACAAATTGGGACCATTGTGCACATTAAAACTGATGTTTAGGGTGTCGCGCACCATTGCGCGACATCGTCCACAGGGACAGACTGCCTGTCGCGCACCATTGCGCGACACCGTCGTCAACGTGTTAAGTATAATCTTATAACTTTACTGCTGTATGGGCTTCTAAAATTTTTACAATCGAGAAATACCAAGAATTACTGGGCTACGTTTTTCGTTTTTTTCGGCAACTCGAAACATTGTATATTTTTGCATGGTTTCATGAGGATCAATGTACGAAATTTTGAATGTTATCTTGTAGAGTTTGCTTTGGTCTATTGAACGGCACTCGATTTCTATTGAGAGTATAGCTCTTGTTACTAGTCTAGTGGTATTGAGCCTGAAAACAACGATAGCTGACCCGTGCTCGATGTTTCCATAGATCTTGCTGTAGATGTAGCACCTGTGGATGTAGTCGTTGTTGGAGTAGACGTTGCCATTGATGTGACTTCTCCTCCCTTTCTTGTTCCTACAGTAACTGTTAGTATCTTATTGTTTTTTATTTGTTTTATGAAAACCCTATCTGCACTAACACCTACCAGTCCCCAGCCCTTGGGAAGGTAAAAAATGCGAATATTTCTAAAAGTAACATAGTCACTTACGATTGCATCGCGTCTCACACTCTTGTACGTTTGTGCCAGTGATGCTGTTGTTGTGGACGCATATGTAGTTTCGGAACCTGATCGAGCAATAACAAACAAATATTTGTGATTAGGAAAAACTTTTTTCTTCTAACTCACTTCTCTCCTCTTTCATCCTTGGGATCTCGGATGCACAAATAATTGCCTTAAGACAATATAAATTCATGAGTTTTTCTTCAACATTGAACCAACCTTGATAACCTTTGTTTCAACTGGCTTGGGTGCTGGAAGGCGGGGCATTGTGACCCAATTAAGGGATCGCGCTCGAGACGCAGTCTGCATCTCTCCCGCGCAAGTGCTCTCTGAACATTGCCTGACCTTAATTAGGTCACGAAGCCCCGCCTTCCAGCCGCCAAGCTGTTGAATCAAAGCGTACAGTACTTTGTTGCACACACTGACGTTGAACAAATTGCCTCCTTCCGAGTCCAAAAATTCGAAAACACGTAAGTAACCCTCCGATCAAATACCCTGTCAAGTGCGAAGGGAAGCCCAACTCTCTGTAATATCAGTTTCACCAAAAATGCAAAAATGAACTAGTGCTCACCATAACAGTTGGTAAAATTTTATAAAATGCAAAGTATAACAGAATATAGCCTCAAAGAATATACAATTCTATCATTCGTTAAGGTGATCACTAGCTTAATTTTGCGTTTTAGCGACACTAATGTCTTCTTAGAAGGCTGAGATTTCTACAGTCGACAAAGGTTTAAGATATACGGATATCGGATACGTTACTTCTGTGTATTCAACCTTCCAGACTTGAGGCGAATTTTTCGAAACGTCAATCTGTGCAGTAAAGTCCCGCACCTTTTTGGTTCACTGCTGAAAAGAGCAACCAGAAAAATATATGCAATGCCAAAGGTCATCAGTCGAATTTGGATTCTCATCTATGAGACTGATAAATTGAATGCACTGCTTCCTCACATGCATTTGGGTCTTTGGTTATTGTGCTGCCAGTGAAGCCTTTACTAAGTATCGAGTATCGACACAAGAGAAATCTAAAACAAAATAATCTGTTAAATCAGAAGAAGAAAAACAAGGCCTTGCTTGCTTACACTCCCGCAATCGTTTGGTTGCAAAAACAGAGTCCTGCATCAGGTCCTGAAAAAAATTTTTCATATTAACAGCTTTCTAATGTGAACCACTTTTCGATCACATTCGATATTTAACACTCACAATAGGCGCGCAATTCTCATAAAATACGTTTTTTCTATCATGTCACTTTCCAACAATTGTGCTCAATATGTTTTACAAGAAAAGAATACTAACATAATCTGGCAAGCCAGGAAAAAATGTGTATCGGTAGACGCGCCTTTAACGCCGATTCCAAATCTGCTTTCTTCTTCTGCGAAAACAATTTTCCGAAAGAAGTTATGAAGGTTTAGAAGTATAAATTTGTCATGTTTGAATTGGCTTGAAATTAGCTAAAGCTCTAAACACTTAGCGGAATTCCACTGGATGTGTTCCGTCTTGTAGTCAGTAGACTTGATACTGAAGTGATAATCACTTTCATTGTTTCTGTACAGCTTCCGCCAATTTTATGCCATTCAAAACTCAAAAAACCATGACTTTCAAACGTTCAAAACTTTCTTCGGAAGAGTTGTGGCGCAGAGAAGCAGATTCGCAATGAGCGTTTGAAGATGGTTCTAACGATATACATCTCTTTTTGGTCTGCCAAATTGTGCTGATATTCTTTCCTTATTGGAAGAAATGAAGGCATAGAATGCTATTGAACATGCCGGACTTCCATTTCATGTTAGCTGCAACAGAAGCTTTAGTCTTTTTCATTCTTAAGACAGGAGCAGGAGCTGAGTCCACTGCAAAGATGTTCCTGTGACAAAATTCACATCACTATAAGATTGTTTCGGTCTGTTATATTTCATGCACCCACTATAAAAGAATCGCAACTTCAAAATTTGTTTTGTCATTTTTGCTGATGGCATGAAATAAATATTCGAAATCTAAACTTTTTACAGCAGTTGATTTTGAGCAAGCCTAACTAAGATATATATACAACTGGTAGAAACTTCAAAATACGTAAGAATAAACGCTGATTTTAGCTTTCCGGTAGCTTTCATTGTAAATGCTAACCAGCTAAGTGGCATCACTGCATCTGACTAAGTTTATATTGCTCAACTCTGTGTCATGATAGAGTGCACCGAAACAGACACAATGACTATGTTAGAAGTAAAACTAAAAGACCAGAGTTTGACGCAAAAATGGCTCGATGATAGCATGCCAAAATCGAAAGATCTGCGAAACGTTTTCTTCGAATCTTCCTGCTAACTAGGTTAGAATGTTGGTATTTTGACATCGCTGATCTGTATGAATATTTTTCTGCAAAGAACACCCAAAAAGTTTTTCTAAATAAGGTATCCTTTGTTCAAAAGATTCTTCAGGTCATTTTTCTACATTAGGTCCACTGTTTTTTCACTAATATCATTGCTTTAACTTAGAGTTTTGTGGTAGAAGCACTTCATGTGATGAGTAATTAAACAAATGACTAAAAGTAGATTAACTTACTTCGCGGTGGTGTCATCGGTTCTGTCGTAGTAACTTCGCTGCTAGTCGTGGTTATACTGCTGAGAATAGGAGTTTCTGTAGTGTTGGTAGTAGTTGTTGTGGTGGAAGTGGTTGTTGTGAGAGTTGGAGTCGTAGCTTCAGTTGTAGTCGTTGTTTCGCTGGTGGTAGTTTCCGCTTCAGTGCTAGAACCTGCTTCAGTGCTTGAAGTTGTGACTGTCGTCGTCTTTGGTAAAGGACTTCCACGTATTTGTATTTCTGTAGGTTTTATCTGTCAGTTCAGCATTATAGAATTAAGAGATATAAGTTATACCTGGACATTCCTCTTGACATTTGATTATGTTCGTGAAAAAATAAATTCCTTTCGAATTTGCATGACCGTAATACTCGCATATGAAGATTCTAAAGAAACTGTTTGGGATTTAAGCAGTGTTATCCATGCTTTTAGTACTATCGATTAACGAAATTAGCACTAAAAGTAATTTGTGATGAACTTCCGCACCCATCTGAAATTAGCGCAATACTTACTGAATTGATAAGGTTCCGGGTTGTATGGTGCAAAATTCTTCTTCTGAAATTGAAGCAAGATCAGAAATGAAAGATCAAGTTGGATTTTTGTCTACGATTTATTTCACCGACAGACAACTTGTATTTGAATGTAGAATCTTTCAAAGTTTTTCATCGCTCTCAAGCTTGACTTTACATCAATTTACATTGAGTAGAACGAAAGCCGCCAGTTTGAGCCGCCTTTCGCCGCCAACTGGTTCTTTCGCAGTGTTGTTGCAAGTCGTTCCAGGACCAGTAATCCGCAGAGGCTGCCTGGCGGATTTCGTTCCCCTACCCATTTGCATTATGCATGTTTAGGAACTTCAGATAGTAGCTAGCTGTTTGTTTCCCATTCCCTTTCAAATTAATGTTCTCAAACTGTATCCGAGGCAATCGAATTTTTTTCAAATTTAACTTTTTACCGCAATAACTGTACACTTTCCACTTCTGAATAAATTTCAAAGTGTAGGAAAAGCGCAAATTACCACCACTGCGCTATTGGTCGCGCCCGCACAGCCCGCCATTAATGCGAGTATAAAAGGAAAGTCAGCCCACCCTGGGGGTTCTGTTGCACTTCCGCCGCCGATTTCGGCTGGCACCACTGCACCTCATTTTACCACCCCTCACTTCCCCTCTTCCTCATTTTTCTCTATCATTGTTTTGTACTTGTATATCCTTCGTACCCATGTAACCTTTTCATTATCCTTGATGTTATCTACTTCCTACTGTAATCTCCTTATTTAGTACTCTTAATTACCTCGTACATAACGCTTGTATGCCTGTCTGTCTATTCACCTCTATATACTCAAGAGAGAGAGAGAGAGAGAGAGAGAGAGTCAAAATAATTATACGTTACTGAACAAAGTCTTCACAATAGCCCACAACCATTTTTAAAATATTACAAAAGTAATATTTGATAGGGAAATCTCTCCGCTCATCCATATACACTTTGGAGCCAAAAGCTAAAGGTTGCGAACAGGGTCAAGCAAGGGGTGTGGCACACGATCGCTGTTTACGACCCCCCCCCCCTGATTGCTGTCTTAATAAGACCCCCCCCCCCTAAACTATATACCTAAGATAGCATTACCAGAGTTGAGAAAGAGGTCAGGCACAAGTCTTTCGAAACTCCCCCCCCCCCTCCCATGAAAGCACTCAAACGACCCTTTCTTAACCTTTGGACCTCAAAGTGTGACATTCGGGAGGACAGCATCTTTTTCTAGAGAGTTTCTAGATTTCTGAGAGCTGTACGCCCGATTTTCTGTGACTGCACTTTACAATCACACGTAATTTGACGGCTGATTTTGATCTGAATGGGCATATTGAAAGGGCCATAATTTTCTTATGGGTGGGGCGTTCCGCTCCAAATTTCCAAAGTAGCAAGAAGAAGCTATGTGCTCAATACTCATACCAGCAATGGAGCGCTCTCTAGATTTTGTAGGCAAGTTAAGGGGGTGCGGCCCACCCCCTTAAAAGCTGCGGCAGCCGCAGCTTTTAAGGGGGTGTGCCGCACCCCATTAACTATATTAAAAAAACATTTTTAGCGGACAATATTTATATGAATCGATAGCCTAAACGTTGTAGATTCCATAGGACTGTTTGAAGCCTGATTTGTCTTCCTAGCTCTAAGTATATTTGGTGAAAGCACAGCGATCAAAAGCGAAAAGTGGGAAAAACGAGATTTTGGTTGGCTTCTTATTCCACAGTTTGCAGGTGTTCTGAAGCGGGATTCCTGGGGTGGACAAAGAAGGAGTAGTGCTTTGTCTTGAGTGCAAAAACGGATAGCTAATTCACTTTTGAAACAAAGTTAACCATGTTGGAATTTGATCATTTCATTTAGGTAGCCTAGAATCTTGAATCTTCAGAATCCGCTCAAACTTTGTCTACCGGGGGGGGGGGGGGGGGTTAACTGACATGCTAATTATGGATATGATACGAATATCATGTTACCACTATTATCAGAATACTCAACTACGACCCCCTTCTTTTTTGACTCTTCAATACGCCCCCCCCCCCGTGGTGTGGCGTGCCGCACCCCACGCTTGACCCTGGTTGCGAATCTCTCATTCGCTCATCCACATACACTCCATATTAAGCGCTCTTATATACCGTTGCTGTGCTCATTTCTCTATCAGAAACTACTTCAAAGAAACGATGCTTTTTGTCTTACACCGACGTCTTACGTTTGAGTTTGACTTGCTAACTTTATCTTCGACACTCCATTTTTGAGATCATCAATATGTTGGAATCTTGACGTACCACTGCATTCTTCCTCACATTTCCTTTGATCCCAGACATCGTAACTGATGCTCCTGTTGCGCACGCAGATAAGCTTGTCTTCATTGTCAATATGCTCGAGTCGGCAGAGTTCCGGACGATCTTAAGTGAAACGATGAAAAGCATGTAGTTTTCTAGACAAGGCGTTTTGTATGAGAAAATGCACTGTCACATCTAACAACTTCAGTGCAGCACATCTCTTCCTCTTCTTAAAAAAAGTCATGTTTCAAAAACATTATGTTTCTCTTGGTCCCTTTAGGAAATTTTTTCTGTCTTACATTGACGTGCAAAGCCATTTGCCACATTAGGCAACAAATCTTTTTAAGCTAAGCTTATTTACGCCGCTTGAAAAGTTTCAGTCTGGAAGCTGAGAATTTGATATAGATCAGCCTTCTATTAGAAATAATAAGTACATTCCAATGAGCTTGATCACATCTTCTCAATAACACATGCATTTTGCATCAAAAAGCGAAGAAGTGAGGGAAGCTGCAAACGCTATAAACTCATGAAACAACCAGGAGCTCTTTCAGATTAAAAAAAATTCTTATGCTGTTACATCTCTTTACAAGGCCACTAATTTATTCATATTATGATAAATGGCCATGTTCTAATTTTGACCGTTCCTTGTTCACAAGGTTCTTCAGTTGGTTTCAATAGTACCTCACTTCAAAAATGAAGAATTGTTTGACATTTTACAAGCTCCAGGAAAGGATATTGAATACAGTGTTATCATAAGTACTCGAAAAAAATGAATTGAGAAGTGTGATTCCGAATACTATTTCTATGAAACCTATTTAAGATAAGAAGTCAAAAAGCAAAAGATAAGGTAAGGTTTGACTACTTTAGATTATTAGACAAAGATTGGAATTTCAATCACACTTTGCAAAAAAAGATGAAGTAAAAATTTTGGAAAAAAATAAAACATTGTACCTCTGCAATGACTTTCGCACTCAGACACCTTTGAGAAATGCTTGCCATCGCGCTTGCAGGCATATTTCGTCGAACTGTCGTTCATCTTTTTGCAAAGCTTCAGTAATTCTTCATCAATAACATTTGCTTCGGTGGTGGTACTTGTCGCTCCACTGCTGGAACTTGCTTCGCTAGCAGCACTTGCATCAGAAGATGATGTTGCCATAGTTGAAGTTGGCGTTGTGACTATCGTCGACCTTGGTAAGGGCATTCCACGTTTTTGTATTTCTGCAGTGTTGTATTTGTCAATTTGGAAAAATTCGTGCAAGAGGATAAATTAACCTGGACATTCCTTTTCACATTCGCTTTCGTCTGTGAAAAAAGAAGTCCCTAAAGAATTTCCAAAACCGTAGTACTCGCATATGAAGATTCTAAAGCAAGTGATTTGAGATTCAAGGCAGTGATATTTTTGGTTTTAGTGCAAATTTCGATTAACGAAATGCAGTGCCTGATTAAGGTCCGAACTTATTGAAGAATAGTGCACACTCACGGTTTTGAAGAGTATCCGGGTGACTTAGCGCAAACTTTCTTCTCTGAAATTGAAGCGACTAACAAAAAAGTTGATTTTTCATATATAATTTACTTCAAGAACTGGAGCATTTTTGGTAAAAGATAAATCTTTGGAAACATTTTTGGCTCTTAAGAAATTGCGCGAAATCTGCATTATGCCCGCAAAGAAACTTTCAAACCGTGTCACTTAATCTTTCGTATATCTTCTTCCATACGCAATTATGTGTGATATTGTTTATATTAAATTATATTGGGTATATTAGTTTATATTGGATTCAATTGTATATGCGACGAAGTGTCGCCCATTTGCTTATGCCCCTTTAGTTTCCATGTCAGTCATTGTTTTTTCGCTAACATAATGATCCAGCTTTTGACTTACTTTCACAAAACAAAACATTCACCTTATATTTACTGTAGGAGTACTGTAAGTTTTATAAAAATCTTTTGCTATTTTTGGTCTTTCTCACCATTGGCAGCGCCTAATATACAGAATGTTTCTCTGTGCCAGAGTCGGCACCTGTCACACTTAAAATTGTAATGCGATATTTCGTAACTTGTGAATTTGCAGCAAAAAAATTATGATATGTTCTACGCATGCTCAGAAAAAGAAGCAGAAGAAAGAAAACAATATCTGAAAAACAGTAAAAAAACAGAAAATCAGGCTCGTATTGCATGTGGCACCAGCTACGTTTAGTGCACAAGATTGCGCTTGAAGCACCATTGCACCAGCATTCAAAATTTTTAAATGCTTTTATAAGCGGAGAATAGATTTGGAGCGGTTACGGGACTAATACGTAGATTTACTAGATAAATTGTGTAACAAGTTCAAAAATTATACGAAAAAGAAGAAGATATGTGACTGTTTCTTCCTTTGAGCGACCTCTTCAAGTAATGTAGGGCATATAGTCCCCGTAAACAGGAGATTCATAGGGTCGAAGTGTTCTTTCGCTTTTACAAACTAGCAAAAAAACAGGTAAAACAAAAGTAGGTCAAAGTTTCGAATACTGGTCGATGCTTTTCTTTCTTTACAAAAACCGTATTTCTGAGCTTGTTGCTGCCATATGGCGATGAAATAATAGGCAAGAATATATAGGTAAGTGTTTATAAAAAATTCTTAATTTTTCAGGTACAGCTCGGTGCACAAAAATGAATTATGATGCTTTAAACCACAAAGACTTTACGTCGGAAACAAAGAGGTCTGTGAAAAAGAAGTGGAGCTGTATCGAATGACGTTCGAGTTTGCCGGTTGATGTTTTATTCTGTTTTTGTAAATACGGAACTGCATCTAAAAAGTAAATTAAAAATGATTTGGTTTAGGAAAAGCAAGCTATAGATACCAAAAAATGCACTTTGCACTTTATTTTATTATAATCCTTGTCAGTCCAAAACGGAAATTTTAGATTAATGGTAAGGTGAGGCATGGCAAGAATTACGATTCGAAACTAACTTCGGCTATTATTTAGTGATTGGATAACAAACTAGTTTACAAACGTCACAGCTGAAAAAAGGAAAAAAAGATTTGTAGCATAGTAATTGAAACCTTTACCTGCCTTTACCTCAGTTGCTTTAATAATAGTGAGAAATATCAACAAACCTTCGCATCGACCTAATATACAAGTGAGGCACAATTTAATTCTTGCGTTGTACAAGATCTTGTTGGATTGTGAAAGCGATGGTCCTCATTTACCTTGTTCGTACTGTAAGGATGTTTGCGAGGCGTACGCACTAGTGTAGAGAGTATGCACTATATACTTTTTCACCGAAGAATATACAGTTATGTCCCCCGGCTGAGATCTTTGCTTGGTTACGATAGGCATACGGTGGGTAGCCACTTTACTGTCAGATGTTTCACGAGTCCTTTCAGAGATTTTTTTTTGCTTTTCAATAGTTTACTAGTGTGCAGATTACAACACTTTCAACGGCTACCTATCAAAGAATCGCTTCTGCCCTTTGATTTAACTGGATTGGCGGCTGAAAGGCGGGGCTTCTTGACTTAGTTAAGGGTAGGGGATGATCAGAGGGCACGCGCGAGAGAGAGACGCAGATCGCGTCGCGGGCACGAGCGGCCTTGATTACGTCACAAAGCCCCGCCTTACAGCCGCCACAGTCGAATCAAAGGTTATATAAAGAAGAGGCGGTACGGTCCTAAGAGGTCGTATACGCTTTGACCAACACATGTAAGACTTAGACCTCACTTGATGGAGTTCCCACGATCAGCAATGGAGCGGGATGTGCGTTAAAGTTCTGGTTGTAGATATATTAGGCGTTAAAGGTTTGGCTGTAGATATATTAGGTTGGCCCGAAAGTTCAGTCATTTCATTTTCAAAAATTTGTAACTTTGCGCTGTTTCAACGGATTTGCCTGCCTGTAATTTTATTAGAAAGAATAAGTCATTCGCTTTCAAACGCTATTTTGTAAAGCTTCAGTTTCACATTGGGTGCTAAAAATGGAAAACGACCATGTAAGATTTGACCATTTTATGTTAGGTCACCAAAAATCTGCAATGCTGCAGAAAAATCTGAAATCGTCAGTACATATGTTCTTTGGCCTACTCTTTGCAACTGTGAAGAGTTCGTGCGGTTGGACGTCTCAGTGAGAAGTTATGATTTTAGCGAAGATTAACAAATTAATTCATTTTGACGTTTTCCATAGTAAACTCGTTATTCATAACTTCTCACAGAGACGTCCAAACAGCACAAACTCTTCACGATTGCAAAGAGTAGGCCAAAGAACATATGTACCGACGATTTCAGATTCTTCAGCAGCATTGCAGATTTTGGTGACCTAACTCAAAATGGTCAAATCTTGTATAGTCTTAGTTTTCCATTTTTATCTCCGCACCCAATGTGAAACAGAAGCTGCACAAAACAGCGTTTGAAAGCAAAAAACTAATTCTTTCCAAAAAATACAGGCAAGCAAATCCGTTGAAACAGCACGAAATTACAAATTTTTGAAAATTAAACGACTGAACTTTCGGGCCAACCTATATATCAGATTATATTGGGTATATCAATACTATACATATCTGGCTTAGCCACTTTTTGTATGTTCGCTTAAAAAAGCTAGAAGGAGCATCTGGATCAAATTTGGCAAATGTAATATATGGGGTGGGGCGTGTGTTAATAAGCCATTTTGCTCGACACCTACCATTCGACCCTATCGATTTATTGATTTTTTGCACTTTTTGCCTGAAAAATTTTGTATGTTCTCTCAAAAAGGATAGAAGGAGTTATGAAATCTGAACCAGATTTGGCAGACATAACGTATGGGGCGGGGCGTGTGTTGCTAAGCCTTTTTGTTCAAAGTCCACCGTTTGACTCTATCGATTTATTGATTTCATTTAGTCTTTGCTTAGGAAATTTTGTATGTTCGCCCATAAAACATAGAAGGAACCATGAGGTGTGTACCAAATTTGGCAGACATAATGTATGGGGTGGGGCGTGTATTAAAAAACCTTTGTGTTCGGGGTCCACCATTGGAGTCCATCCATTTCTTGATTTTTTGCAGGTTTCTGCTCAGGAAATTTTATGTTCGCCCAAAAAGGATAGAAGGAGCCAAGGAATTTGAACTAAATTTGGCAGACCTAATTTATGGAAAGGAGCGTGTGTTAGTGCGTCTTTTGTTCGGGACACACGGGCTCCCCCTATTCATTTAATGATTTTTTTTCTCAACTTTTGCCTATCTAATTTTTTCCGCCCTGAATGATAGAAGAAGTTTTAAACACACGTCTCGCATAAACTCATTTTGAAGAGGCATGTGTTCTAAACACCGAAGAGTAGCATAGGCTACCTTTCGCGGCAATTTGCTGCGCTTTCTATCGTTTTTATTGAGATTCTGTTTCGGAGGAAAATGTATTATTGGCAACTTTAATCCACTATCAACAGATAGATAAACAAGAGGAGTATAGCACATTTCATACGCATTTGAATGATGCGAGGAGTGTGCATGAGTCATTTTGTTCAAAATTGCAATACCGATTGCTTCTATAGATTTATTGATTTTTTGCAGTTTTTGCTCAAAGAATTTTTGCCGGCTCAAAATGTTTGAAAAATTACGGGGTCTGAACCGAACTTTGCAAACATTAACTTCGTGGCGGACGAGTGTTACTAAGCTTATACAAAAAATAATCTACTGTCTTTTAATTCATTGACTTCCGGCGTTCTTTGCTTAGCCATTTATTATTACTGACCAGAATGCTAGAAAAAATTACGAGATCTGAAACATGCTTCGCATGCATAAACCTTATGAACGGTTCTTTTGTTGGTAAGCTATTTCCACTAATATAGGCTAAATCTATTTACTAATTTTTCTTACTTTACGCTCTTGGGGCTCAAAATTGGCTGTAAGGAAAGGATACAATACCGCTCCATTTTTTGAAAAATAGACGTGAATGTATGGACATGTATGGACATGTCCATACATGTAGCGACATGTATGGCCATGTATGGCCATGTATGGACATGTATGGACATGTCGCTGTCGACTGTCCATAAATGTCCATGCATGTCCATACATTCGCGTCTATTTTTCAAAAAATGTGAGCAGTATTGTAGGTAGGCATGGTTATTACGAGTACAATATCTATTGCTTTAGTTATTGATTTTCTCTATCTATTCAATATTTTTTTAGCTAACATTCTCGACAACTGACTGATAT